GTCCGAACAGGATGCTGTTCCTCTCTCCAGTAATGCGGTTTTGCATTAATGGGCTGCAGGTGCTCAAATACCATGGATCTGTGGCCTGCTTGAATGGTCGCATAGGGCGCTAGAAACAAGGAGTATGGTATGCGACCACATAAACCTGGTAGTATAAAACATGTTAACAACGTTTATTCTGATATTGCTCCTGTTGTTACAATGCATTAATCGAATGGTGCGTAGAAACTAGCCATTAATCTCGTACTCCTACATGCAATTGGTAAACAACTTTGGAAACGGGACACCCATGCTAATACATAGGTTGAATTTCCATCAGCTAACGCAGTCAGAAAAGCGGAGTTATAAAACGAAATTAAAAGGGCGGAAGTTAATTAGTTCCATAGAATTTTTAGTTTGCTCACTGAGAGATTTCAATGATATGTAATACAGCAGTAGTTGGATGAAACACTTCATGAAGCATTGTGAACAGTCATCACCATTGAATCATGTGCATTCGAATGCGGACAACAGGATTTGCGCTATCAGTGACCATCGATCATTGCCAAAACTTTGGCTCTCAAAAGTCGTTGGCCGTCTTCAAGAAAAGTGTCACACTTTTGTATGGCACTTCTTGTCTTTAAGGTAGCGTTATCAGAGTGATGAATATGAAATGGAATGATGTTTGATCTGAATGAGTGATGCTTGCACTCTTCATTATGATCATTCCTGATCTTCTATCCAGAGCTGATCCATTTCTTCGAGATTCCGGGGATATCTATGCTGCATTCATTGATCGGTTCATTAATACTCCCAAATGCTTTGAGGTCTTATTTGCGATTAAGTAGCTTCCTTATATTCTCATCTAGTCAATGCCAGCGTTCTCTAGGATGAAGCAAAAATGCAGCGATATGCTAGGCAGTTACCGAACCTGGGCAAATGATTGAGCATACGAAACAGGTTGTTCATAAAATGCAAGCAACGAAACTGATGTAAGCTTCCATAAAATAAATTCCATCTTGATCGCCATAATGTCATTTCGCTATTTCTCAGCGAAGCTAAAAACACATTGTAAAAGTGTGGCAAAACGTTTTCAAGGTTCAGTGATGTAAGATTTGCAGAGCTTCAAGACCATTTCTGGCAATTCCTATGAACAATGAATTCGTTCCACTTCGCCCCAGTGCAAGCACCCGAAATAAAAGTAAAGCATTATTCGCTTACTAACAACGAGGATCGGGGGGACAACATGTGCTACACATACGGCCATGCTGTTTGATGCGAGCGATTCAACCACTTCTAACAACCGCACTCAGAGCCCTTTGCATATTGGACCAAAGGATGAAAAACAGTTACTTTGAAATTAGTCAAATTTGCAGGGGTTTCTGCATTCTGTATGCTGAAATAGGCTCCGAACTGAGCTACGAGGGATCCTCAAAGAAGTAGTTTGTACATCCGTAGCAGATAAGGTCTGTTGTACGAATAAGTGAAAACGTATGAACATGAAAACTATAACAGATACTGTACGGTATTATGTGCGGCAGTCTGGAGTCTCATAGTGCGCGTTTGTGCATTCGTGTTGTAGTTTTTACATGAGCAAACAGAAAAAGCTTATATATCCTATTTATTATATTTTGATGAAACTTATATTAGCTTGTAAGAAATTTTCAGCTGTCAGTCTGAGTTAATTTTGCAGGTTTCGAAGTTATTCCCATGCTGATAAAGCTGCTAACCGTTGATTTACAGTTAGATCGCATTCGCACTAATTTATGAAACATAGATAGCTGGTACTACGTTTTTTAAGGTATATTTGGCTTTGTTTCTAAAAGAGAGTTTAAAAATCGATCACGTACTGTTTGTCAAGATCATTACATTGAGCCGTTTACATCAGCATAATTTATCGGGTCTCTTTTTTCCGTTGCATTCATTGCTGTTAAACACTTGCTATATTGTAAAATTTACTGCATGGTATAAGGAAATTTTAATCTCAAAAATCGGATCCGCTTTTACCTTGATTTTGTTCGTAAAGGCGAAAACAGCTTCCAGGCAAACGCCTTAGTCAGCTGGGAAGAATTCAGATAGCACTCTTTTTATTTTGATAGCAGACATGATACCTACATGCAACTGTTCTAAAATGAAAATGATATACTCATGTTTTGCATAACATTTCTAGATTTTTCACATCGTACGACGATGCGTTCTATTCAAAACAACTTTTAAGTCTAGGAGACTAGCAAGCCGAATTATCAGGAATTCTTTGCATTGCTAAGCGATCCTACAGAGGGCGAACATTTGGTAGGAGCAGGAATACCTCATCGCGAAGTCTGACCGATTTGGACCAAGTCTTCCATCACCTGCATTCATTTGAAAGGAATCTTTTCTTAGGAGTTGTGATACCACGATGACTATAATATAAAGATCTCAGCATTGTCGTTTAGCACTAGCTGCAAAACCTGGTTTCATTTGAGAATTCATTCTTTCTTTTGACATGCTCGGGCGTACGAACATAATGTGATATATATGCCAGAGCATATAAGAAGTGCCAGCTCCTGAAACATCATTCGTGATGAACGCAAGGTGGCTTTACTGAACACAGTGATGCGAGACACATCTGGCATTGTAGGTGCTCAAACATCATGGAGCCGTGACTTATTTAATTGCCCCCATCCCTCCCCTCAGAACAACTAGAAGCAAAAAGCCGCTGGAATTGATCCAAAAATCTGGTCTTTGAAAGGTCGGTCATTATTTAATAGTATCATATAGTGCTCCTACTAAACTTTGTTCTGTATTATACTTGTCCCGCTATACTTTGTTATAATTTGATGCGATACGTTAGTTCATATATTGTAAAGGTACAATTATGGCAGTGCAATAAAACAGTTAGACTTAAATCTGCGTTGACGTTCGAATAGAAACGTGTGAAATTCGGCCAATAACATAAAAATTGACCCAGTTTGACTTGTGAATAGCCGTTTCTCGTTTTGTAACTAGGTCGTTCGGCATTCGTCAGATTTTCATTTTTTAACATGATATATTTTTCAATCCCGCCAGTGTTATCATTTATTCGCTACAGGTTTGAATCCACAACTCGGAGCAGCGCGAGCATGAATATATAATCTTGGGGAAGTGGAAGAAGTAGCAGTGAGATAATGATGACTTAATTTTATGATTGTTTGATTGATATAGTCAGCATAAACTGATTAATGTTTGGTTTCGAATTTCGTTGGGGCAGATTATGGATTAGCCGGTATATATGTATTTCTGAAAGCTGGAAAACCAAAATTTTTGGCTTCTCACTTACCTTGGATTTTGCGCACATACTGAGGCAACTTTTTGGCAATTTATGAAGTTCCTATTGTGATGAATTATTCCATATTTTTTGTATATTTATATTATCTAGACCTCGAACGAAAGTAAACACATTCAGATGAATGCGCTCAAAAGTGGATGGTTTTCTGAGCTGCCCATCTCCGATCCAGCAACCGGTGAGCATGCAGCCCTTTCCTGGCCCGGCCAAGCGTTTTCTCTGGAAGTGGAAAAAGTGCTCTGCTGCGAGAAATCCCTGCAGGATATCCTGGTGTTCGAAAGGTATCATTCTTTTGGTGCAAAATTTTGTGTGAACGAAGTTTTTTTTTATGAGCTGCGTGTCTTAAGATCTATAATTGATTGGTGGAGACCACCATCTTCCTCTTTTACCCTGTTTTGTCTCTATTTTTGCTCGTTGTTCTGCTTCATGTTGGTCCTGTTGGTTCTTCACCATATTCGTTTTTTGTCGTCTCCTTCCACTCTCTTTCGTCATATTTTTTTTCTTCGGTTCGTCAGGTATCATAACCAGCATGAAAAAAGACAAGGATAGTAATTAACTGCATACCGAAACCGGAACGTAACATTACCATTGGCATTTATCCAAGACACTTTCGGCAGTGACAGTTAGTGATTAATCTGCTGCCAAATTCTTATTTTACGTTAGGCTCTCTAGGGTTACATTTTGTTTAACATAGCAGATATTACTAGAAGATTTATTTGAGTAGCAGTGTATATGCTAGACCTCATGATGCGCTGTTTATCTGACATCACAGCATTAAAAATCTGTGAATGCCAGTCTTAGACATTGTTAATTGAGTTTCGCGTTATTACAATAAATATTATAAAAACTGATATAGCAAGGCGTAAAAGCTTTGCTTACAGTTATGTTGCAATCTACCAACGATTACAGAGTGGTAAACGATCTCGAAAGAACCGTGCCCGTGACAGAAGTGCTACTTGTACACGCGGATCTGCCGCTCGAAAAACATGTAATAAAAACTGTTCAGTCGTTGAAAAGGGTTGATTGATGAGTTTGTCGTGGTGGTCTGTTGTATTCATAATGAAAAATGAACTTGTACGATTGAGTAGCGGTGTTTCTCATTCCAAGTGCAGATAATTCTTCATGCGGCAAACTGGATGAATCCTCACTGCAGCAGATCCGATCAGTAGGCTGCTACACTAATTTCATTTAATATGGTCGTATCTTGGTCGGTAACTTTCTATTCAGAGGTCAAAGTTATGGAATTGTGAAATGACATATACCTTGAACGCTTTGTCGCAAGGTCAGGTTCTGATTATCCTCATGGTTTTACCTCGTAGGCAACGCTAAGGACTGGAGGGTCAATAGCGAATTAATGGCATCTAATCCGATCTTGACCCTCGATCCCTCGTTGGGGTCGCGAAGTGAAAACTGATTAATCGAACAGCAGCATGTCATCAATGAAGTTCGCTTTTGCTTTAGCTGTGTGGAAATTGATTGGCTAGGGCATGGTCTTAGGTAGGTGGATAAGCACTGTGCTATGGCAGGAGGTTCTGCCTACCTCTTCGGTAGAGAACTTCCCTCTCTTCACTTTCTTGCAGTGGAATATGTGGGATACTCATGAGGGTACATGCTTACTGTGCTGTGACACGTTTCTTCCCTGTGCTGAAGATGGGAGCAAATGATTCTATCAACTGTACCGGCAATGGTTGTGGTTATCCACAAATGAGTTTCATTGTTATATCAGATGCGAATCACTATACCTGAAATGAGAGGGCTTTCTGGAGGAGACTCGTTGATTTTACAACAATATAGTGTCCCCACTGCGTATTGAAAACGGTTCTTTACCGAGATCACGACTGCATTTTCCCGTTGAATACCTGCAAGTGACTAACTCATAGAATGAAAATTGCCTATGGTATCGATCATTGTACCGATGGCGTTATTATACAACCATGCTAATTAACTGTTTTGCAGTAAGACTTATGGAAACGTTTTTGTGTTGGACGGCGTAATCCAGTTTACGGAGCGCGACGAATTTTCGTACCAGGAAATGATGGCACATATCCCGATGTTTTTACATGAGAATCCGAAGAACGTAGTCGCCAAATTGTACTTCTCATTTGAACACTTTCACATAGGTTCTCGTAATTGGAGGTGGAGACGGTGGAGTGATTCGGGAAGTGCTGAAACATTCGTCTGTGGAAAGCGTCACTCACTGTGAAATCGACCAGGTATGTTTTTGTTTAATGAGGTTTATGCATTTTGTGTAAGCAGTAAAAGACAGTGCCACATGGCTACAATTGAATTAAAGAAGTGCTTAAATAAATGTGAAGAACTTGGGAGGATTGAGGTATTTACATTTCATTTTTAATACATTGCTGGTAAGTCGTAACACAGTGAGTGAAAGGCATGCAGTTTGAGTAGTCTTAACGTTTGCCGGAAAATGAATAGGTCATTTGAGATAAAGTACTTGATTCCAGAGGTTGCTTTCCCGTACTACAGCGTGCACATATAAATGTACAATTTGTTTAAAGTATTTTTTCATTTCTTTTTAGAAAGTTATCGAGGTGTGCAAAAAGTATTTTCCATCAATGTCGTCAGGGTTTAGTGATCCAAGGGTCGACGTTCACATCGAAGACGGATTAAAGTTTTTAGAAAAAAATCGCATGAAGTACGACATCATCATCACCGATTCTACGGATCCATCAGGTAAACGATGTTTTATGATCGTCATAAAGCACCACAAATACAGTCGTTAGGTAAACGTTAGCAAAGCTATGTGATAATTTGTTGATGCGTACTTGCTCACCGCCTAGCTGATCATCTGGAAAAATTCCTGCTTATTCTTGCTAACCCGCCTCTCACTAAGTAAAATGGGAGGAGTGTGCTGTCGGTAGATTTTTGGTTCAACAGTTTTAAAATACATGAATACAACTCATGATATTTTTGTACTGCTTCATGGTCCTGATGTACTGCACTGTCTTTGCTTCACTAAATTTTTGCTCTTTTCTGCATACTGAAAATATGTTCATCAAAGTCCTGTATGCCAATCTTCTGCCTCATCATTCGTTTTGGGCGAGTCTTCAAGAATGGTTTCTCGCAGTTCAAAATTTTTAGAACAAAACATGACTGTCTTTTCATCCGATGTCGATGTGGATGTCCAATCCATACATTTGTTTCGTCCAGCGTCTGGACGTAGCATCTTCCACTTTGTCCATGTGTACATTAACAGTGCAATTAGGATAGAATAACATTGCTGTACTGAATTTAGTGATTCATATAAAACTGCTAAAGCAGTTATGTATTTGTATATTTGTTTCTGTCAGTCTACCAGTTTATTTACACTACGACTGGTCACAAGCTGTTTTTGGCAGCAAAATTTGGAAATAACGTGATCATACGCCCCCTCCCACTGATTCCACTGCGAAATCCTACCCTGCGAAATCATCTGTATTAACAAGCATTTTTCAGTATTTCAGTGTTTTGTTAATGCTGCGCAGTAGGAGGCTTCTTCCGCTTTCAGCACTAGCATATAACCAGTATACAACATCAGCAAAATTATTAAATAATGCTTGCGGAAAGCGAGAGATGAAATTACTGTAAGGCAGGGTATGAATTTTCTCTGGAACTACTGATTTTCTGTGCAGTTTAGCTATTGTTTTTGGGACGATGAATTTTCCTCATGTAGCGGC